GAAGTGAAATATATCTAGAAAAGTTACTGGAGAGGTGCATTTGAAAACTCCTCTCTGCTCCCTGACCATTTCCCTTATAACTTAGCACTGTGAAAGAAGCCATAAGATGCTGAGCTAAATTAACACTACTAGTAAGCATAAGTCCTTGATAACCTCTGGGTGCTATCATATCATAAAGTAGGTAAAATAACACTACTTCCAGATTTTGAATAATGAAGTCAACATAGCATAGAATAATACATTTCTGAAACAAAATTTTTCAGGCAACTAATATATTCTTATAAAAAGCAGTGGTATGGATAGTGCTTACCTACAACATGCCACATCCTGGGACTGATGCCCAGAATCAAATAAATGAACAACTAAACTAGACAAAACTGAAGGTCTGGATAGTTCAACTGACAAAATAGACAAAAGTAAACATGAAGGCAAACTGTGATTCATTTAGCTTTTCTGAACTACCTAAGCAGTAGAAGACAAGAGTTCTTACCCTTAAAATTCAAACTGTGAAATATATTTATTGTATTTGGAAAACTAGCTATAATTCTGAGCAAATTTTCATAATCAAGAACTTCTTGAGGTTGGTACCTTTTAAACATCAAATAAAAGGAAGTAACTGGAACATTCCCCTAGACTTCACTTAATACAAGGTGTTTTTTGTAAGTTCCTGTGTGATCAAAAGTTTCAGCTCTAAATTCACCCTTGAAGGAGATGTAGAAAATAATAATTAAGAGGGTGCTAGGTGTAAGTGAATGCATGACTCACAGTATGCAAAGTAAAATGATTTGTGGAGAAGGCACAGGAAGGAGAGGAGCAAATAATGGATTCTGGATGCAATGAAGACCTTTCCTGTCCAAAGCCTGTCACCAGTTCTTTATTACTTGAGGATTAAGGAAATAGTGAATAAAGCTGCCTGCCAGACAGCTGAAAAGGTAAAAATAACATTATCTCTATGTGTGCCTCACTTGAAATTTTTCAGAAATAACATTCATAAAATTAAACTTTCTATTAAAAGTTCCTGGAATATCAAACTGAAATCAGAACAATGGAAATGTCAAAATAAACCAGGATTACATTTTTCCCAAGAACCTGAACAGAATGAAAAAGTGTTGGGTCAAGTTGTAAAATCACCTACGTTTGTTCCACTTGGTTTCAGGAAAAAAAGAAAATATAGTACATTTTTACTAGGAGAGTCAGGAGGTTTTCTTTTTCTACTCTATATTAGGTACTCCCAGGAGAGTTCAGCAAACTGACAAAATGTACTTTTATTTTTAAGATCCAGAGATCAATCAGAAGCCACTCAAACTCCACCTTATACTTTTCACTTGTATGTCGCATGCATAAAACACAACATACACATTGGAATATTCTTTAAGTACATTGAGAATCATTTCCCAGCCCTCTAGCTAAGAAGCATAAATTATACTTATCTTTCCATTATCAGGGTCTACAGGAAATAAAAAAAAAAAAATCTCATTTGATGAAGTTTTATTCAGCAGAAAGTTTCACCCTTTGTGAATGTATTTAAATCTACATTTACATATATTTAGAGTTACTGCTATGTGACAGCATTCACCTAAAGACCTTACACACATAAACTCTTTTGAAAAGGCCAGATAAGCCAGAAAGTGGTGGCACACACCTTTAATAACTCAGAGGCAGGCAGATCTCTGTGAATTTGAGGCCAGCCTGGTCTACAGAGCAAGATCTAGGACAGCCAGGTCTACAAAGAAAAAACCCTGTCTGGAAAAACACAAACAACCAAAAACAAAAAAACAAAAAGGCCACATAAATTCTGTTAACTATATATTGCCTAGGGTGAGGTAAAAAAAAATATTTTTATGATAAACAAATATACTCCCTATCACTGGTAAATGAACAACATCCAATCAGTCTAGTTTACTTGATCCAACCTAAAGAAAGCTCTAAGGAAAAATAGATAGATAGATAGATAGATAGATAGATAGATAGATAGATAGATAGATAG